GGTTTAGAATGAAATAATTGCACCCTGACTGGCTCGCTCGTACATTGGTGTCAGGAAAATACAATTTTCTGGGATTTAGCATTCAAATATCCTTTGGTCCGGAAGGCAGCGTTAATCGTGGAGAGGTTGGTTGGGCGAATTAGTACGGGGAAAAATGGTGGGGCGTTAGCCGTTGATTTGGAAGGAAAACCAGTTGCTCATTATCAAGATGTTGAATTAAACATGGTTTCAACTGGGATTAAGATAAAAAATCATCTCTACTGCGGTTCCTTCGTCAGACCGTACATCATCCGCCTCAATCTGGACCAACATCCAGCGCAAGGGTCGTTCTAATTATACTTTTCCTGCAGCAAAATGCAACTGGATACAGTCCAAGAGCCCAGACGGGTGTTCTCTTTTTCTGTCTCAAGTCTCATTCACTAGGGCTGAGTCTCTGTTCTGTATACTAAATGCATCACCTGACTGCAATAATCCAAAATCTGCAACGTGAGTGAAAGAATCAGACTTCAGAGAGGAATTGTATTGAAACTTTCCCAGTAGGAAAACTCGATGATTTTAATATTTTCCTTTGCTATTTATTTTTGTTTTTTAATCCAAAATAAAATTAAAAATCATATATTTAATCAATGTTGATCAAATGACAAAAGATTGAATTACTACTCCAACACAATAACAATAGTTATATGTAGCATTAGCGCAAAGCAAAATCATATATATAATAGTCAAATTTTCAATTTTTAATTTCCTTTGCATATACAAAAATATATATATATAATCTTTGATGATTTTGCTTTCAGAAACAAAAAATTAAGCGATAAAAATATTGTTTAATTTCTCTCACTTTTTATCCCACGTATATGCTCAATCTAATCATGGTCTAATTAACATGGTAATCTTAGTTATGAACCTTTAAACTAACTTGCTATAGACATATAAATTTAATATTTAAAATTTAATATTTTATAAATTAAAATATTATTAAAAATAAATCATTCGAATGAAACACATCCCTGATATATCATTCATTAACAACCTCTTTGCCTCAATTGGAAAACTATTATAAACTAAACTATCCTCCTTTAAAGTAAATTCTATATTTAATTCATAGTCGGTTAACGTATTATTTTTTTCATAAATAATTTTTAAAATTTATTTAACAACAACATGTCACGTCAAAAAATATAAATCAGGATAATGTGTAGGAAGAGCCAAATAAACATCAACGTTACGTATCAGAAATTGATTACGTGCTTCATCAAATATCAACAAGGGGATGGCCAAATTAATCTGTGCCGTTAATAAAGCAATAATTCCAAAGGGTCACAACCGCCATACGCAGCAACTTCATTTAAAGAGGAAACAGGGTCTTGATTTGGTCACGAATGGTGGGTATCCATCCTTTTCTTTGCCACGTCAATCACTCAGCTTCACCCATATATACTCCACATTTGTTACCTAACCCCGCAAAACTCTTTCCTGTTCCGGTCAATGGTATCCATGCAGGCATGTACTTCTCAACTTGATGAAGATTACCAGTTTTAATCCACAAAATTTAACATTGAAATCAAACCAATGATGCCAGAGCTGTTTCTGATCAAAGTCTCATCTGCTGCCGATTATGATTGATTGAATGTAGTTTGGACATTAGTTACAGTAAATAAACATTTTTGTTTAATGTTTCAACTGCACAGACGTCAAGGCAACCAAATGACTTGAATAATCAAAATCAAAATCATTGGTGGTCATCACTTGCGTAGAGGATAGGAAACCCAGGTTTCCAATCTTTTGTCCCTTCTGAGTTCTGATTTTTCCAATCTGTCAAGGAACCTGCAACGCTGCAATGCCTAACTCAACCTCTGAATCAGTTTCTGCTCCTCATCCACGAAAGCGGCTATGGCACTTCACTCTTGTTTTGTCAACGATGGTTCCGGTACTGGCAGTTGTGCTTGCCTACCAGCTTGACTCATTCGATCCAGCTCCTATACCCATCCACGAATTGGCTCAGGCCCCCATCGCTGCCTCGTTGCGCAACGATCACATCCTACAAGGAGCAGAATTCGTGGGTGCAGGGAAGTTGCAGGGACCAGAGGATATCGCATATGATTCCAAGTCAAGGGTCATCTACACGGGTTGTCTAGATGGGTGGATCAAGCGAGTCAGGTTGAACGATTCGACCGTGGAAAATTTAGTCAACACCAACGGAAGACCTTTAGGAGTCGCTCTTGGACACAATGATGAAATAATCGTGGCTGATGCTTTTAAGGTTAGTTACCTTTCCTAAGACAGCACGTGACCTGGGAGCAATCAAAATCAAATTTTGAAAAAGATATTGATAATATTGACAGGGACTGCTGAATATAAGCAGAGATGGTGAGGTGGAGCTGCTAACAGATGAGGCTGATGGCCTGAAATTCAAAATTACAGACGGTGTAGATATAGCAGATAATGGTATGATATATTTTACAGATGCTTCATACAAATATGACTTGAATGACCACGTACTGGACATGCTGGAGGGTAAGCCTCATGGTCGATTTATGAGCTTCGATCCAGTTACCAGAAAAACCATAGTGTTGGTCAGCAATCTCTACTTTGCTAATGGAGTTGCAGTATCACCACATCAAGACTCTGCAATCTTCTGTGAATCATCAATGTATGTTGCATTGGTGGCTAATCTTGTAATCTTATTACCAACGGTTTCTGTTGCCATTCTGATGATTTAATTGCCCGAAATTGACCAACTTAATTGCAGGAGAAGGTGTAGAAAGTATTACATACAGGGCAACCAACAGGGACGGCTGGAGAAATTTGTTGATCAATTACCAGGCTTCCCTGATAATATCAGATATGATGGGGATGGCCACTATTGGATTGGATTGCCCTTGGTAATACTAATTCTTTTTAATTTTGGATGAAATTTGTGAAATTTAGGTGGTGCTATGATTTCTTGGGTAAGAACAACGATGAAAGATACTTAGCAGCAGTCTGAGCGTTGAATTGGTTAAACCATTATTTATTACAATATTGCATACGAACGACTATTTTTTTTCTCTTAATAATTACTGATAATTTAAACATTGTTGTACATATTGGACAGGAAACTTCGGCTACTCTTGATTTAGCATTCAGGTATCCTTTCATCCGAAAGGTTATGGCGATCATAGAGAAGTACATTGGACCACTATCTATGGGGAAAAATGCAGGTGTCTTTGTCGTTGATTTGGAAGGAAAACCAGTTGCTCACTATCATGACCACAAATTATCTATGGTTTCAAGCGGAATGAAGATAGAAAATCGTCTATACTGTGGCTCTCTCATCTATCCCTACATTATCAGTCTCAATCTAGATCAACATCCTGCTCGAGCCACAGTGTGAGCAAGAAATTCTGCAAAGTAGTATTCTCTGCTGCAAATTTGCAAATGGCAGGGACAAATCGTGGCTTGTACTGTGAATATATGGCTTTCTCTACCTATCTGTGAATGGTAAATACATTACAGTTAACGAACCAGAGAATTAAAATGAGCAACGAGAAATTTTTATTTTTCCAGTTTTGGAGGAAAGAGTACAGTATCATTTTGCTCAAAACAGGCTGCCCAGGGCCTTTGCTTTTTCTCTCAATATAAACTTCTGTATCTTTCCAGTTGAAGTTCTTGGCAATTCCGCAAAGATCACTGTTCTGGGAGCCATATAATGTGGCAAGTGATCTCGGCAAAACCTGATTAGTTCTTGAGCATCGACAGCAAACCCCTCTTTTAACTTCACAAATGCACAAGGGGTCTGTCCCCAATGATTATCTGGCCGCGCAACAACTGCAGCCTCAAGAACTGCTGGATGACCATACAAAACTGTTTCAACCTCCACCGTGCTTATATTCTCTCCCCCTGAAATTATGATATCCTTCAGCCGGTCCTTTACTTCTATGTAACCATCTGGATGCTTCACAGCAAGATCCCCACTCCGAAACCATCCACCACTAAATGCCTTCTCTGTTGCTTGCAAGTCTTTAAGGTATCCACTCATCACAGTGTTTCCTCTGAACATAATCTCACCCATGGTTTTACCATCAGCTGGTACACTTTCCATGGTGACAGGATCTCTAATATCAACCTCCTCCAAACCAAGATGTTGCATTCCTTGCCGGGCTTTCAACTTTGATTGCTCATCAGGAAGCAAGGAATCCCATTCAGGTTTCCATGCGCAGTATGTACCTGGACCGTAAGTTTCTGTGAGGCCATACAAGTGATTTACACTAAAACCCAACTCTTCCATCTTGAATAGGATCTGTGGAGGTGGCGGTGAGCCACCTGTCATTATTTCAACCTTGTGGGAAAGTGGCTTTTGATCACTGACAGGTGAATTCACAATCATGTTGAGGACTGTAGGAGCTCCTCCCATGTGCGTCACGCTGTGCAGGACTATATTTTCAAATATCTCCTTTGGGGAAACGCTCCTCAGGCATATGTTTGTGCCACCCTGCGCTGCAACACCCCATGTGAGGCACCAGCCATTGCAGTGAAACATAGGCACCGTCCATAGATAAACAGGCATTGAGTGCATTCCATGAAGGAAAACAGTTGCAAGGGAGTTGAGATAGGCTCCCCTGTGACTGTAAACAACTCCTTTGGGCCTAGATGTTGTACCAGAGGTATAATTCACGGAAATGGGATCCCATTCACTTTTCGGTCTTCTAATCTCAAATCCAATATGCCCAGTTTCTAAAAAACTTTCATACTCATAAGTACCTGGCTCAAAGCTGGTTGGAGATGAATCATCCCATTTAGAAATCAAGATCAAGATAGGTGGTTTTGTGTTTGTTTTAGCAAGAAGATCAAGTGCTCCACGAGCAATGTCAAGTAACTTGTAGTCTACAAATACGATCTTAGCTTCTGAATGTGTCAGTAGAACTGATACCATGGCTGAGTCAAGGCGTGCATTAAGTGTACAAAGGACTGCTCCAGCCATTGGAACAGCAAAATGCAGCTCATACATTGCTGGGATATTGGGAGCCAGGGTCGCAACCTGCTTAAACAATTTAGAGCTGAAAATGAAGATCCCAATTGATTATGTATTTCAAAAGGGCACCTCCATAAGGCATTATACATGCTTAAACAACATATATAAAAGTTTGCTTTCCAACTTCCTTCTCCACATCCCCAACTTTCTTTCCCAACCATAAGTCAATTAATGAAATTTTTTGTTTGATCAATTAAATTCTCATTAGCACAGACAGCATCAATGTGACAGAATACCTAAAAAAAAAAAAAAGAAGAAGAAAGAACCAAAAGAACAATGATTAAGTTGTCAAATGAACCAAACCACTTGTTTTTTCTTTTAAAAAAGCTAAGGTTAATCATCTTAGTGAGCCGAAAATGAATATTAGCCTGCTTGGTTCTGCATGTTGATGGTGGATAAGTTATGCATGGAATTACATAGAATTGAAAATCTTTTCAATATATACAAATCGATTATCATCCTCTTCAAGAAATCAGCCGGTACCCAACTTATGGGATCCAAAAGTACGATCCCAAATCTTTTCAATATATGCATGGAATTACGATCCAACTTATGGTACCCAAATCTTTTCAATATATGCATGGAATTACGATCCAAAAGCACTGAAACTCGACCAGGATCTAAAAAATAATACAAAAACAAATTATGGGAGCAATTGCAGATTGGTGGTCGACAGATTTGGAGCTGTAGGGAAGATAAAGAGGAACCTAAAACCAAAAGAAAGAAAGAAAGATGTTAGATAAAGAGCAACGCACCGCATCGCCACGGGTAATCCCCAGCTGGGACAGAGCAGAAGCGAGCTTGAGACAACGTTCATGAGTTTGACTCCAGGTGTACTTATAAGAACCATAAACAACCGATGTTGTGTCCCTATAAACCTTGGCTGCTCTCTCCAAGAAGCTTATGGGAGACAGAGGCACGTAATTGGCGGGGCAACGGACAAGACCCTCCATTGATTTCCATGAGTCGGGCTCAGAATCCCCTTCAAAGCGAGAGAAGTGGCGATAACTTTGAGCAAAGGAGGGGAGGCGGTTGACACCGGGGAGCGATCGGGACCATGAATATCTTAAGAAGCGGTTCATGGTCGTCGGGTCGGAAAGAGGAGAGCCAACTGACAGACACAAGAGAGTGAAAGTTACAACGTGAAACTGAACTCAAAACTGATTGGCCGTGTCCTTGTGTTGGAGAGAGAGATACCTGGACAGGCTGTGAGACGTGTGCGTTGTGCCCTTTGCTTGCACACGTGGCTCAAAAGAACAAGGTTCAATCTCTTTCCCATTAATTAAACTGCGCAAATGAATGCAATTACCCAATGCCATAGTAATTAATGCTTACAAAACTACTCTTCCACGATTGCAAATCAGGGTTTTGGTATGGTTTCCCTTCTCCTCTCCGCCTCAACGTTACAAAGTCAATTTATTTGATAATTTTAATTACTTTTAGTTAATTTTTAATATAATTTGATAACATATCTTTCAAATAATTTTAAATAAATTAAAAAAAATTTATTTTTTTTATCTAATAAAAAATTTAAAATTAAATTTTAATTATTTTTTTTATCAAATACTATTTATCATGCCATTCGAGACCAAGCTAATAATTTAATAAAAACTAAGCTTTTCTGTGTCGAACATATCAAGTTTGCTTAAGTTGATTGAAGAGTAGATCGGATCAATATGTGTATGCTTATGGAACAGTATGCATGAAGAGCTAGCTGAGGCATGACCAGGATCGATCACAAAGTTGCATATGCTGCAGAAGAAACTAACCTGGCCCTTCTGTCACGGACCGTAGTTCAGCACCTTAGAGGTGACCGAAGGGTGTTCCAAAGTGTCGGTATGTAAGGGAAGTATTGCTGGGAGAGAACCCTCACTGGATAGCAGAAGGCAAGTGCAAGGTTCCAGCAGAGGTGCACAACACAAGACCTTGGGCGAGCCAGCCCGACAGGGCGCCAACAAAGGTGCACATCACAGGCCTTTGGGCAAGCCGTCCCAACGGGATGCCATTAGGAGCACACAGCACAGGCCCATGGGCGAACCAGCCCGACGGAATGCCAACAGGGGCACACAGCACAGGCCCCTGGGCGAGCTAGCCCGACAGGATGCTAGCAGGGGTGTACAGCACAGGCCTCTGGGTGAGCTAGCTCGACAGGATGCTAGCAGGGGAGTACAGCACAGGCCCCTGGGCAAGCTAGCCCGACAGGATTCTAAGAGGGCCCACAGCACAGGCCCCTGGGCGAGCTAGCCCGACAGAGAGCCAGACAAACTGCGCGCAGGTGCTCCAGCTCGCAAAATAGGGGTGGGCGGCACGCAGACCCGCATGCCATGGTTATGCGGCACGCAGGCCCGGGGCCGCCAGCCCAGCAGGGGTGCGTGGCACTAATCACAAAAACTTGTCAGTTAAAATTCTACTACGCAAGTATACGTATCGAATAGACAATATATTAGCAAGTAGAGTATCGATCCCACAGGGAATTGATCTAAAAGTTTACTAAGTACTAAAATTATTGCAAATTAATCTTATCCAAACAATGTCAAAATAATATCAAATCAAATCAAACTAAGTTATAGCAGAATTAAACTAAGAAAAATCAAAATAATAAAGCGACTCAAATTAAATATCAAATCAAATAAGCCTAGGATTACAATATCCTCACACTTCATCTAAATCTTACCTCTCTTCCTTAACTTATCTCAATGGTTTGAATTGCTAACCTAGAGTCCTAAATTATTTATAAGGGTCTCCCGACTCATCTTATAAAAATATCTATTTTAACCAAAACACTATATCCCTATGTGAATTGAAATTAAAATAAACTCATTAAGTTCAGGCTTTAATTTGGCTACATATGGCCTATAGGTATATCCCTATCCTATACGCAAATCAATTAATATGATCATATGCTATCCCAATTTTAGTCTACACTAAACTCCCTTTCCCAAGTTTGTTTAGGTTTCTAGATCAATTTAATTGGTGGCCAAGCAATTAAAAGCATTAAGAACAAATTGGAATAAACAATTCAAATCCCATTGAAATAAGCAAGAAAGTGATTAAAAATCTAGATTACATGTGAGTTCAATTGCAATCCTAAAAAAATAAATTAGCTCATAATATCTAATAAAGACAATATCCAAAGATATTTAGCCATGAATCCAAGTCAAAGAAAATAAGAAAAAACACAAAGGTAAGAGAGAAAACTAATAGTTAGAGATTTATGATCTTGATTCTCTCTCCAATTCTCTTGTTTCCTTGCTTTGTTCTTGGCTCCAAATCTCCAGAATAGTTTCTTGCTGCCTCCCCTCCAAAATCTCTGAAAAGGCTCCTTAATAGGCTCCAAATAACCTAATTTTCGAAATTCCGTTAATATCTTTTATTTTTTTTTTGGAAATTCGTACAGCGCTGTGGCGCTACTTCTCCAACGTTGCAGCGCTGAGCTCTCTGGAATTTTGTATGTGTGCTTCCTTTCATCAACGCTGCAGCCTTGTTCTCCCAGCGCTGTGGCAGTCTATCAACTTTAAACGTGAGTTTCACCCTGATATGTTAAGAACTGGGCAAAGTAGTAAACATAAAAGTTTTATCCCTGTCTCTTAACTTTCCAATGGATCAAAAATCACATCAATTGAACTTCTGTATTGAAAGCTTTGCTCCAAATCCCACATCATGTTCAGTCTTTACATACTGCTGCAGTGGTCCGACTTTGACAAATATTTTGACCATGATCCAATCAGAACTGGGCAAATTGGTAAACATAAACATTGTATCCCTTCTTCTTCTAATTCTATTGGTCTAAGAATCACCTCATTTGGAGTTGTTTTGAAAGAGATATGGTCAAAATACTGAAACATATACGAATGAAGCTATCACCATACTTGCACTGATTTTCATCAAATGAGTCTTTTTCATCAATTTCCTACAAAAGTCATAAGAGAATTAGCAATAACTACCTTAAAGTAATTTAAAATAAATAACTTAAAATTTAACTAAAATAACTTAAATTAATCACTTAACAAGTAATCAAACTTAAACTAAAAAAACCTATAATGCTAAAATTCGAACCTAAATCTCAAAGATTTAGCTACTTAAGCTCTTCAAAATGACTCAAAATAACTCTATATAATAGAGTTATCAGGCACGCGCGGGGACGCAGAGCATGGGCTCATGGTATGTAGGCCCAGGGCCTCTGACCAGCAGGGTGCGCGGCACGTAGGTGCGCACACCATGGGCCAGCGGCACGCAGGCCCGGGCCGCCGACCCGACAGGGGTGCGCGGCACGCAAGTACGCGGCACGCAGGATGGCTCGGCAGGGGCGCAGCACGCAGGCCTGCACAGCACCCAGACAGACTGCCTACGCGGGCTTCTGCGCACCAGCCGCCGCGTCCAGGCACTCAGCCTGTGCGCGACCCAAACCCACCAGATGGCCCAGGAGGGTGTCGGCCCACCAGACCCATGTATAGGGCTGCTGGAAATTTCAGCTTTCCCTCCCAAATGAGCTTCTAGAAACTTTAGCTTTCCCTCCCAAATGTTTGGAAGAAATGCTTTGGAGGGAAATATTTTGGAAGGAAATATTTTGGGAACTTTGGCTATAAATAACCCATGCTCCTTGTGTTAAATCATCCAACACAATTCATTTCAATTCATTCAATATAAGCTCAGCTTCTCTTTGCTAGCATTCTCTTCTCTTGTCTTCCTTTCTCTTTTATGCAAGCTTGCTTGCCGGCTTAAAACCATTGTGTGGGTGTTGGGTGCTTGCTGGGTAAGTGCTGAAGCATTAAAGCTGACTTGAGTTTTAGTACCAAGATAAGGATTGAACTTAAGACCGCACGGAATGTGATCTGAAGAATCGCCTCATGACACTTCCACTGGGTCCTGCTTACTAGCATGAGTGTTCAACTTACTACTGCAACTTATGACCATTGCTCAGGTTTTGAGTTCTGAAACTTCTGATTCAGCTTGGGTTTGGACTGCAAAATGCTATTGTTTTTTTCCATTTTATCCATTCATTTACAGAAACTGGGCCCCTGGCCCATTAGATACCAAACAAAAGAAGAAAAAAAGACACTGGACAAGTCCACGACCCGAAAAACAAGGTCAGTCGAAAACGAAGGCCATCTCGATCCGGGGAGCCCAAATGCGTCGACGTGTTGTATCCGATTCCGCTATCGCCTCCGGAACAAAATCCCAGAAACAGCAGAGAATTTTCCGGGCAAGTTGTATGTTGTCAAATACAAACTTTGTCAAGGAACAAACGCGAGCATGCTTACGTGTCTACGATCTCAACCGTTTAAACGCTCATGTTTGCCGTCAAGCCTTGGCGGCAGACCCTCTTGACATGCTCCCTCACCACACCATCTCACTGCTAATGGTTCTGGTTTTCTTTCTATATGAATATGGTGGAGAGTAGAGAGGGGAAATTTTGTTATTTCCTTTGAGAGAAACGCTGATGGCCGTCTGCAGGAGAGAAACAGCGAAAATTTTTGACTAGATAAAGACGAAGGAGAAAAACATTCATTCGAGTATTGTCCTCCCGAAAGGTAAACTTTTTATGTTGATGACCACGACATTTTGCGTCTCGTGGTGGGTCACTCTCTCTCACACTAACCGCTGACTCTGCTCCTTCTCTCTCTCTGCCACTGATATTATTAATTCCATTGTCCTTTTTTTCTTTCTTTTCTTACCTTACTTTGGAGCTCTTGTTGGTTCCTTTCTTTCGCATCCACTCACATTTACAAACCCTAAAGATTCCCACACAGTCTCAGCAAATCTAATCGTAATCTAGTCCCTCCTTAAAACCCCAAAAAGGGTAAACACAAAGAGAACCGCTTTTCACTTTTAGTGCTTTTATCTTTAATGGCAAAAGGGTCGTTTAAAACACTAGGAGGGATAGAGGATGAGTCCGGAACAGAGCAAGAGTCAGAGGCTGAGAGTGAAGATGAGGAAAAGCAAGAGCAAGGAGAGGAGAGGAGGGTTATGATAAGGGTGGTGCCTCGGGAGAGGTTTGAAAGGAGGAGTTTGCTACAGTCGCACTCTGCAAGCTGCCGCGGTGGTGGTGGTGGTCTTTTGTGTTGTCAAGCTGATGAATGTGATACGGATTTGAGAGATGCAAAGCAATATCATCGGCGCCACAAAGTCTGCGAGCGACACGCCAAGGCTGCTTTTGTTTCGGTTAAGGGCATTCGCCAGAGGTTCTGCCAGCAGTGTAGCAGGTTACTCCTTGCTCATTTTTCTGCTGATTACTTTAATGATCAATTACATTTTTCTCATTGGGAGCTTTCCAGAGCTTGATGTCCATGTTTCATCTGTTTTATTTATAACTTTGGGAAGTTTGGTCATACTTTTATACATTAGATAGGAACCTGCAGGTCTAGTTTTCGCCATTTGATAACGAGACATCAATGGTGGAAATCATTTCTGCTGAGGTGGTTGCTTTGTTGTGTCAAACAATCCGACCTCCTTATATTGTTGTTGAAGATTGAAACTGAGAGTTTTATTGGAGAATCAATGCCCATGTCTTGAATATCTATAGTGTGAAGAAAGATTATCTTTAATGATCCATTGCGGCTTACAGATGTAAACCCCTGCCTAGGAAGATCAAGCCTAAAAACAATTGAGTTGTCTGTCACTATTGCTGTGCGTAAGCTGATAAGTCAATCTCAGAGACAAATATTTGTAGTTCATGTTTCTACTGATTGTGAGCTTGATTCAGCAAAACCTGAGGGACATTTCAATGAGAAGGAACAGTAGCTTGTAGTATCAAAAGCAATCCAGTGTGTTATCTGTACAATTAGGTGATTTTTGGACTGTCAAATGCAGGTTTCATGAAATTTCAGAGTTCGATGGTACCAAAAGAAGTTGTCGGGATCGGTTGGCTGGGCATAATGAGCGTCGGAGAAAGGTCCAGTCCGACCAGCAAGCCGAGGATGTTGAAAGATCACCAGCTTCCGAGATGAATCGTAGCATGGTGAAAATGAAAGCTGCAAGGCATCCAAAGCATGGGAAACTCACACTCCAAGGTTGCCCCAATCCTAAACGTTTTCGAATTAGATAACTGCAAAATTTTATCAATTTAGATCACTTGTTTAGTACTAGATTCAGTTACCATATATTATCCTAATTATATAAATTTATCCAAAAATTATTTATATATTATCATTGTTTTCCTTTCTTTTTGCCATGTGGATGCCCAGCGAGCTTCGTTATGAGAGCATTTATTTAGTTTTTGCCATAGGTGCCTGCTAAGTCAACGTGAATAATTGAAAAGCCAAAGGGTTTCATACATTTTAATAAAAAGGGGCTTAATTTGAACTTGACAAAAGTATAAGGATTTATTTGCACAATCCTAAAATCGAGGATTGTTTCTTCTGGCTTTTAGCCTACACTTACATTTCTCCTGTGAAAACAGAGATACCATGTTAGCATTGTGACGGCTGCAAGAATGGAGTTTGATCACAGAACAAAGTTTATCTCAGAAAACAATTCCATCTTTCATTTGGGATTGAGATTATTTAGACATAATTTCAATTGTGAATGTGAATGAAATCAACCGTAATTTATCCAACCTCAAAATGAGGAATTCCGGTGGGAAGTTCCCAATATAGATGACAAAGTGCTGACTACTCAACTATCTTCTCTCTCAGTCTAGTGCGTCTATGACTGCATCAACAACCTCTTGACTGGTACTGGTTCCTCCAAGGTCCTTTGTTCGGTGCTTGCCCTCTGATATAACCCGTTTCACAGCAGTTTCCAACCGATCGGCAAATGAGGGGAACTGCAGATGTCTCAACATCATCGCAGATGAGAGAAGCAGGGCCACTGGGTTTGCTTTCTTCTGTTCAACCAGTTTCTCATTGCCCACATTTCCTGCAGAGGCTCCTTGCTCAAAAACAGCATGGTCAGCCCCGACATTGCCTGCAAAAACAGCACTCCCAACATTGGGATGAGATTTTAGTCATACATATATAGTTTATTGAGAGTCCAACACTACAACTGGAGGCACCTAAGTCTTTTCTGCCAAAATCTTATTATAACCTAACCCTTGAAAAAGAGAATAAAGGGGAGGGGATGAAAGTTCACTAGGTTTTCAATATAATCTCACATCTTCAATGTCAAACTATTCAAGGAAACAAGAGTACCAGAACAGAAAGCAGGCTAAAGGCTTTAAATTCCTCTCATGGCAAATACATAAATCTTCATTGTATGGTTTACAATGAGCATAATAAAAAGTCAAACTTTAGTCCTACAGCTAATATGCAAGCCCTTGTTATTGCTTCTAGATGCACGTGCATACACAGTTTCATCACTTTCATTGAAAGGACAAACAAAAGAACAAATCGATAGGCATGAACAGAGAACCATTGATTTTCTTTTGTTTTTTGACAGTTGAGAACTATTGATATTAATGAGTTAATTGGCACCGATTTCTTTTTTTCGCCTCTATCACCAAGGTGCTGAGGCTGTCTTGTCATATATGCATCAATGGTTCAACAATACGGATGTAACCCATTCTACAACCAGTTAGGGTGCCAAAAATTTAAGAAACAGAAGAAAACATTAGAAAAGAACATCAACTGATGTGTGTTAGTGGATGTACCTCCAGGCATAACTCCAGTGCCACCAGCAATACCAGCAGCTGTATTTGCAACTAAATTTCCATAAAGATTGGGTGTCACCTGAGAAAAAAAAAACAATCAACATCAGTTAAGAGTGTCAATAATTATAATAACAGGAAGAAAAATGAAGGCGAAGACAGGAAAAGGAAATCTTAACATGTACAACAATATGTAGAACTTCATACTCAAGTTGAAGGGCTGGAAGATAGAGAAAGAAAAAGAGTCCCTTAAAAGCATACAACTTTCATTGACATTAGCAGGATTATGTAATTTCCAAGAGAGTGACGCAATTAATATGGCTTTCTTGATAGCGTCTAATTCCATCATTGTCAACACATCATATCATAGTGTCTAATTCCATCATTGTCAACACAATTTATTCTAGGTTGTTTGTCCTGAACACAAAATTCACAATCAAATTTCTAATTTTGAAACCATTGCATACTAAATTCTCCAATCAACACAACATAACAAACACCAACAGCAGAGAGAAGGATATGATAATACCATGACATCAAACTGCTCAGGCTTCGAAACAAGCTGCATACAGCAATTGTCCACGATTATTTCATTGTACTTAATCCCCGGATACTTGGTAGCAACCTCTCGGCATGATTCCAAGAACAAGCCATCAGCAAGCTTCATAATGTTGGCCTTATGCACAGCAGTCACTTTCTTTCTATTATTTAAATAAGCATATTCGAATGCATATTTTGCAATTCGTTCCGAACAGAACTTTGTTATCACCTAGCAATTGAGTAGTATGAGACACGAAAAATAAAATAAAATAATCCTACACTCAATTCAAATTTAAACATAAAGGTAAAGCGTAAATTAAACGGAGTACCTTAAGGCTCTCGACGACTCCAGGGACGACCTCGTGTTCGAGGCCAGAGTATTCGCCTTCCGTGTTCTCTCTAATCACCACAATATCAACATTCTCGTGCCTCGTAGGCAAGCCTGGCAAATTGAAGCAATTGACGAGCGAAGCGTACAAATCGAGCTCTCTTCTCAGCTGGACGTTGAGCGAGCTGACACCACCTCCCATCGGCGTCGCCAATCCTCCTTTCAGACAAACTTTGTTCTTCTTGATCGAATCGATCACTTCTTGAGGCACCCGATTCATGTCGCCGTGAACATCGTATCGCTCGAAATACACCGGTGCGTGCATCGCCTCCATCACTTGCTCCACGGCGCCCGTCACCAGAGGGCCGATCCCGTCGCCCGGGATCAAGGTAACCCCTCGCGGTGCGCCGTCGCCCGGTCGTGGCATGTAGGTGACGGATCGGCTCGGTGTGAGGTTAGAGCATCGAGAGCTCAAGAGCTGTTTGAGGATCGTACCGGATCTTCGGGCCATGGGGCTCTGGGATAGAGTCAGTCGGGTTTAGGCTTCCAGAGAGCGTGTACAGAAAAAAGGAATTTTGGTTTTTTGTTTTTGTTTGGGCCTTTAAGTGAAGCAAGAAGCCATGGAAGGAGCAGAGAATGGGAGGCACAGAGGGAGGGAGTGAATAGACTAACAAAATCAATTAATCAAAAATATAATTTGAAGAAAGAAAAGTAAAATAATGCTAGGTGGCACTGCTGAAGAATAATAAAGATCATGTGCAGACAAGACCATGCTCCCACTTTCCGTTTCCCAGTTGTATCCAATAGGGACGCAGAGAAGAGTCACGTCCCGGCGGCAAGGCGCCGCCTGTGAAATTGTAATTGTCTCTTACTTGTCAAAAGCTCAAATTAACTTGATTATTTTATTATTTAGTTGGTTTCAATTTTGAATTTTTATTAAATTAATCAATTTGTACATAATCATTTATAAATTATAATATATAATAATATAGGTATAATATAACGTTATGTTTATATAATATTATAACACATCTAATGAATATTATAAAAATTGGTTAATTTGATTATTACGGGATTAATCGATTAAAATCTTATACCCATTTTTTGATTAATTTTTACAGTTTATTCGTTTAAAATATTTTTTTAATTAAATTAATCTAATCAACTATTACGTATCCTAATTTTATTAATAAATATATTACGAGATGAATTTTTTTATGGATAAATTAAAAATAAAAATTTTATATTGAAACCAATTAACAATAAGTAGATGAATGTTTGTATCATTAAAATCCCATACTACTCTATTTTACATTATAAGCAAGGAACAAACATCAATAAACCTTTTTGTCAAATTATTTTGACATAAATTCATTGGAAGGAACGATGAATATATTAATCCCATACTACTCTCATTTGGTTCTAAACCAGTGCTATAAGACAAAACCCTTTTACGAGACTAGTACACTTAACATGCAGAGGCACAGCAAATCTGGACAGGAAAACAAGATGGAGAATGGTGGGTGCCTCGGGGAGAAACAAACACAAACATGAGTCAGACTCAGGGGTAGAGGGAATCTCTCTGGCCAAGCCTGTTTTGTGTGATTTTTTTTATAATGAAAGTGCGGATGCATTGATCTCTGGGTGCAATCATCATCATCAGCTGCGAAAACTGTGTTCTATAAGGTAAGGCAGAATGTCTCTGGTCGTTTACATGGCCACATACAAAATCTCCTTGACGCAACAAGTGGACAATGGAAATGCCTCCATCTCCATCCCAATGATTTTGCCACTTGTTTTCCATTGGGATTGGACTGCTCTGCTCCTCATTGCTGTCGTTTCTATCGACTTTGCAGCGGTTATCCCAGGCAGGCTGCTTCCAATACTTCCTCTTATTCCTTAAATTACAACAACAGAAATTTGTTTAAAGGGAAGTAAAATCAAGCTTCCATCCTGTAGGCAAGCCATAGGTAAGATAGGTTTTTTTTTTGCATACATTTATATTTCTTGATGGCATTTTTTTATACACGTAAAGAGTGAGAAAAAGTGTTTTTTTCCCATAAAAACTCAAGCAGGAAAAAGCCAAAAATAAATAAATAAATGAAAAAGTAACTCAAACCACCATGGTGAAAACAGAGACATGTGAGTCATTCAGTCATAAAACAAAGGCCAAACCCTCCAAAAGGGTCAGAGAGAGAGAGACAACCCGTTGTGCAGCAATCTGCGTTACCCCAAACTGCCTCCTGAAAGAACACGAAACACAACTCAATTAACGGAGAAACCAGAACAACGAGGTCACTTCCCCTAGACCACTTCTCTCTCTCTCTCTCTCT